TTTGCATATTACGTATATTCTGTATATTTTTTCATATTTGAATTTTTAATATAAATAAAAATATTTAATATAAATAAGAATACTTTGATAATCTGCTTATGAAATATTTACATTATTAATTTGCGTAATTTTTTTATCGAAGATTCAATGAAATGTGGAATTTTTTTAAATTATACGTTCTCTCTATCCGTTTATAAATTTTTCCATTTATCAAAGACTTCTTCTTAATATATAAAGAGAAAAATAATAATAAATAAAGAATATAGGACAAAATTATTCGTATTCAAAAAATTTGCAATATTATAATAAATATTAAAAAAAAAATCTATATTTAAGTTAAGTTTTAAATTATCTGTCATAATATTTTCATATTTAAACTCAATAGACAATCAATAATAACAATAATTATCTTTTTTATCTATTTTTCACGAAAAATTTAATTTTTGATTTATCTGATTTTTCAAAATTTCGAATTATAAAATTAGCAGGTATTTATAAGTATTTATAAAAAAAAATGATTCCCGTGTGGTTTATCTCTAATATTAAAACCTTATTATTAATTATCTTGATAATAAATAAAATCTTCTAAAGAGTTAGTTTATAAAAAAAAATTTCTACAAGATATCAAATAATATTTATCGACGACAATTTAATCAGACACATTCCACTTTTTTTTCCATTTCCGTTAGCACACAAAGAATTTTTATCGAGATACGAATGTTCCTATTTACGATGAATGTAGTACTAGAAGTTGGATATCATATAATTGTCAATCAGATTAATTGACTGATAACAAGCTATCACATGCGTATCATTATCATCCATGTGCGGCACGTGCATCGTACATATTTTTGCTCGTGTTATTGTTTGCGATCGTCGTTGATCTCGTGCGTAGAATACCGTGATCAAACAATGTATCCGATTTTATAGATGAAAGACGAAGAAATAAAATATTGATGAAAGCGATATTTTCTTGTGAAATTAAATAAAGATGTTTAAATTAAAAGATACTTAGTTTACATTACATTAAATTTATTAAAATATGAAATTGATATATTTTTCAAGATGTCATTTAATTGAAAAAAAAAATCATTTAAAGATCATTACTTTTATTGATTTTTATATTGTTGTTCACTACAATTTTATAATTCATTACAATTTAGCAAATAATATTTTTTCCTATATAGATAATTTTGAACAAGGATATAAAGATTAGATTTAAAATGGATTAAAGAAAATTATCATTTATTCATTTTGAAATACTAATTTGTAATATAAAACTGTAAATATAAAACTAAGGAAAAAAATATAATCGATAATAAAAATTAAAAAGATCAAATGATATGTTTAAAAATTAAAATTTCAATAATGTCCTTGAGCCATTTAATTTTTCCAAGTTATCTTTGTACTAAATCTGGAAGATTAGAGGCAAGATTTTTACAATATTAGAAAATTTTGATATTTTTCGTCTCCTTCACTGTAACGAAAAGGTTATCATTATTATTTTTTTATTTTTTATCATCTGAACTCATCTCAACGAATTTATTCTATTCATATTCTAATTTTCTTCTTGTCATTGAGTTATCTTCTACGCAGAATTTTAAGATTGAAATAATATTGCTTAATTTAAAATTCTATTAAGGATAAAGATAAATATATTGCACTTGAAATTCAACGATCTACTATGAAGCACGCAAAATTTCTAATGTGTAAGTACAAAGTTGTTTTTCATTGCGACAAGATAAGACCAATAATTGAAAACGAGAACATCGATAGCAGTTTGCATGGATGGAAAATTTCTAAGATGTTACAATGGAAGAAAAAGAATCGTATTCGTAAATATAGAAATTGAGATTTTCGTAATTCTTTACAATGTTGAAATATAAATTTATTATTCAAGAAGATTTGAATCGTCTTTTTCTTCTTCGTTTCTTCAAAAAAATTACATTTTAATTGAGCTTGATATCAAGTTAAGTCTAGGATTCATAAATTTTCTTTAATTTTTTACAAACAGTATGATTTATTTCTTTAACATTTTAACAAACAAAGAACATGATTTATCTCTTTAATATTTTAACAAATAAACAAACGTGATTTATGTTTTTAACATTTTAATAAAGTCTACTTGTTTTAAAAAAAATAAGATTTTGAAATTTTAAGTTTTTGAAGTTAATTTAATTTTAAATTTTATTTTTTACTTAATTTAAAGAACTGTGAGAATAAGCTAACCAATTTCAAAAGGGAGAATTATTTTTTCTCTTAAAAAACTTGTTTATTAAAAATATTAGAAAAAGAAATATGAATCGAAAATTTATCAAGTTTATCGTTCTATTTATCCGGTTTTGTTCAATGATTTGCACGTGCGATCGATGAATAGACTTGTTCATATTTGTTTGCACCGATATCACGAACAATGATAGCGACAAAAGCGGTCAAGAAACTTTCCATTAGAAATATCGATTTAGAGAGAATAATTTGTTTTTATCAAGTTATAATCATAATTAGAATTATGATTGGATATTATTAGGCTAGAAATAAAAACAATAAAATTGTTCAATAAATAGTAAATATCATAATTATAAATGTGAAAGAGAGAGAGAGAGAGAGAGAGAGAGATAATTTATTTCAAAAAATAGAAATAAGAATTTAAGTGACGCTAATTTCTTCAAAGGATTATTATAAGCAAAATTTACCTGATTCGTATGAAACATCTATCAGTTCAGTAACTTTCACTAAATTCTAAACTACAGTGTTTAAATTAATTTTCTGAAACATTAATCGATGTAAATTTTATTTACATCGATTATCGATTATGAATAAATTTACGAAATAAAGATTTATAAAATCTTAAATATCTTTTAATAATTTATCGAGAAAAAATGACTGAATTTTAAATTTATTTGATTATTTGATTATTAATTTATTGTATATATTTATCATTGTTTGAGAATGTTGGTTATGTAAACTTTGTCTTCAACAATTTTTTCCATTGCAAACTCGTAAAGTCAAATAGACTTTATTTGTTTTGTATGTTTTCGATAAGTAATCTATAATAAATATTGTATTATTGTGTAACAAATTTTTCTAAGTTCTAAAATATTGGTATAGACAAACTTTTATTTTATTTTATTTCATAATTTAAAAAAATATCTGACAGTTATCATTAAAAGAAAATTTCCATAAAGAAAAATAATCTGATTGAAAAATAATCAAATTTTTAAAACAAATTAGAAAAATAATCTGATTGAAAAATAATCAAATTTTTAAAACAAATTAGCTTAATATTTTAAAATTAAAGAAGAATATGACTTTAAAATATAATTAAAAAAAAATTTATTTTAATAATAGATAACCTAATAATAGATATAATATAATAATATTATAATCTTTTAATTGTAAACATATTAATTCATTTTTCCTTTGAGATTATATAAACTATATTTGATAAATTTAATCTGCTAAACTTACATATAATCATACGATATTTATAAATAATAGCTATAACTTGAGAAATTTGAAAAAGGTGTTCAAATGTACATATTGAGAATTTTAGCGATGCTAAATAGCATTGCCAATACTTATTTATATAGTGTAAAGCTCATTAAGTAAGAATTAATTTAGATTTCTAAAAATTTAGAAATTTTACAATATAAATTTTACAAATTTCAAGAATACCCAAGAAAGAATCTTCTTTCACGAATGGAATTTCAAAAATTAGCAAAAATTCGAAGATACTAAAACAGTTAAGAAAATTTTACGAAAAAATTCGTGTTTTTTTTTTAATGCTATTTTTATTTTAGGTAAATTATTGTTATTGTTATTATTATTATCGTTATCATGTAGAAAAAGAAAAAAATATAGCAATGTGAAATCTATAGTTCAAAATAATAATTATTAATCAAGAATGGATATCAAATTTTTTTATTGTAATATTATGAAGAGTAATATTTACAATATAATTGCAATTGAATAATTAAAAAAAAAAAGATGATGAATTTGATTGAATTCATAATTTATGTGTGAAAATTTCATTTAAAATTTTGATTAAAATGATTTGGATTAATTTTATGTAATATAATAACGCTATTATTGTAATTATATAACTACTTATGCAATATGATATCGATAATATGATAATAATAAAAGTGACAAATTATAATACGATAATAATAACAAGCAATTTCGAGAATTCTTACTTATACGTAATTAATAGATATAGTTTCATAGTAACGATAAATAAACTACGTTGTTTAGTATTATTTGCAATGTGACACAAAATACATTTTACATTTCTTTTTCATGTCAGAAAAGAGACTCTATTTTGACCTTTTTGTTATCACAAGTGTTTAAAATTATATCATTGTTTCAAACGTTGAGAAAGTTCTAATATTGTTACACTTTTATTTTAAACCGCGATGACAACTGTTTATTAATTTTAATTTATATTCTGGACACTGTTCTAACATGTTTGTTTACTTTAATCGTTCTTTACTTTCCAATGTTTTCTTTTTAACCGTTTTAAAAAACAATAACAAAAAATCACTACAAATCACTTTGGAAGAATTTTACGAAAAATTAACAATCTTACGCACAATCTTATATGCGGATTCTTTTTCTTAAATCATTTGCTTTTCAAACATTTTCACTTCAGCGAAACATAGCCGTTAAAAATACGAATTACCAAAAAATGTTGAACGTTGTTATTTCTTTTCGTTTATTACTTTCTTATTTATCCAATAATGTTTCGCAGCTACAACACGTGAGGAGGAGCGTTAAAAATACTATACTTGATAATCGAAAGAAAAAAAAGAAAAAGGAAAAAAATATCTCAATTGATTAAGATCTTCGATGCGTACGCGTGCCACGAGATTGTCGACTGCCATGATAAAATGGTGGGGTAAGAGAGGTAAGAAGATGAGTGCGCGCGCATTATTATCCCCACCATTCCGGCCGAAAATTAGCAACGCACTATATATGACGTCACCGGACTAGGTCGCGGCACTCAGCTGACAACTGCATTCAGAAGAACCGTGACACTGCGATTACCTCGAGTGTTCAGGTACGGCTGATTCTGTTCCTCTCATTTTAGCAATTGTTTAATGATAACTTCAGGATCTCTAACGCGTTTTCTTCTCTTCTCTATTAATTGTTGTTGTTTCATTCTTGTTATTATTCTTATTTTTAAGCTACAATTGGACAACTTGTCAAACTTGTTTGTTTTCTATTGTTCTTATAGATATATATTGATTCTTTGAGGATTTTTATATAATAGAAAATATAATATAAGAATATACAAAAATAAGAAGTTTTATATCATAAATTTTTTAATTTTTATTTATTTATTTTTTCATATATTATTTATTTATTCTATTTCCTTTTTATTTTATAAGGATATATTATATCCATACGTTGATTTCTGTAATTTCTAAATTTCTTGAATTAATTACTTGAATTTGTAAAATATTATAAGAATTTTATAAATTGTTATAAATCGATTATTATCAACTATTATTTTTAATAAAAATTTTGAAATTTTGTATTATATAAATAAGACATGAAATATAATATTGGATCATAATGTATAATGATATAATAATAAAATATCAGAATATTATTTTATTAAAAGATTCCATTATTAAAAGATGATGACTTATTATAAATTTTTTTTTACCAGAATATTTTATCTCAGATAAATAATAAGTATTTTACATACTATTAAAAATTATTGAAACATTTGAAAATAATTATAATAAATATTTCTTAATTCTAATGTAATATTTAATTCATACATATATTACTTTGATTATTATTTTTATCATAATCTGATTGTGTATTTGATTATGTGTATAACAAAATCGAGTTTACATTATGATATAGATGTCTTGCTCTATAAATGCACATGGTACTAATAACTTTCTTCTATATTTGGCTCTTTTTCCCTTTTCATAAATTGATAGACTGAAAAAAACATTGAAAGAAATAGTATAAAAAAGATTAATATTAATATTATTTCGTTAGTTATTTATAATAATTTGTTTAATAGTAAAGAAAAGATATCGAATAATTCATATTACTATTCTTGAATAAATATTTATTCAGAAGTAATATGAAAGAAATTAGTCATTAATAACATATTTTATGTAAATGTTTTAAAAAACTATTAGAAATTTTACTTTTGATATCGAAAAAATTCAATTACATATATTATTGACAATTCATATTATGTTTGACAATGACTTAAAATTGGATGCAAATGCATATGCATGAATATCGCTACGAAACAAAATAATAATCATCTTAGATTTTCTATCTTCAAGAAATTTATAATGTCCCTTTCAATACATACCCCTTTCATGCCATTTCTCCTCTATATAGTGAAATACTTCGACGAGTCTATTTTAAAAATTACCATGCTGCAAAAATTAGAAAATGTGACCTATCATATTTTTCCTCCATAATCTTCATATGTGATGAATCATTAAATGTTATCACATTTTCTTAGGGTTTAATCAAGTATTCTATTAAATCATTATCAAACATGGCCGAATCATTGGAACAGATGCCGAAATCAGAGACAATCCGACTTCGAGACCGATATATTGGGTAAATATTGGATTAATTCTGCGTTCTTACTTGATGTTGTATTATCACGTTATCATTCCATGAAAACGATCGTTTTACAGACAAGCATGTAAACTGTTTTATAAATCGAATCCCTTGAAAATCGTCCGAGCTGAAGGACAATACATGTACGATGAAAAAGGATATCGTTATTTAGATTGCATTAATAATGTTGCTCATGGTAAGAAAAAAAATTTTAATCAATAATCACTTGATGTATTTTATTTACAAAACAAATTCTTTTATGAATTTCGTCTTATTTCTTTTTATTTTAAAAACTTATAAATTTATATGGAAAAGTTATATTCAAAATTTTAGAAATCATTAAAAAAGTTATCAACAAAAAATATTTTTATTAAAAATTTTACCGATAAGACAAAAATTCAAAATTCTAACAATTTAATTAATTAGCATTTATTAAGAAAAAATTATTAAATTATATATTTTTTTTACCTTTTTTAATTACTAATGAATAATTAAATTTATAGTGGGTCACTGTCATCCAATGGTAGTGCGTGCAGGCCAGGAACAAATGGCTCTTCTCTCTACGAACAGTCGCTTTTTGCACGATGATTTAGTTATTTGTGCTCGTCGATTGACTTCACTTCTTCCAGAACCATTATCTGTATGTTTCCTGGTGAATTCAGGTAGCGAGGCTAATGATCTGGCACTTCGTCTTGCTCAAACTCACACCAATAACAAGGATATGATCGTTCTTGATCAGTAAGTCATTACGTTAAAAATAATCAATAGACTGTTTATGCATTATTCATATTTTAATGGATATAATATTCCACACTGATTCTATAAAATTCTTCTATAAAATTATTAATATTATAATAAGTGCATTTTTTTATTTTCACTATCTTATAAATTTTTATTAGAAACAATAGTTTTCAAAATATACGTATTTATACGAAATGTATTTTACATATACGATATGTAAAAACATAAGTATATTCTGTTTATAAAGAAAATAAATAGAATTTAGTACTGGTGGCGCCATCTCGCGTTTGGACGCAAGAAGCTCGAACTAGTTAGTAGGAATACAGAATATGCAAGGAGGTATTCGTGCGACAAGGAAAGCACTATCGTGCGAGAAGGACAGAAGAGACGTGCCACTAACTTTGGTTATGCGGCTCCTAATACCTCCCATATATCGAAAATATATTAATAATTAATTTTTTATTAAAAATTTCTGTACTTTTAAGTTCGTATCTTGAAATTAAGACCTTAAATAATATTCTCATATAATTTTTAACTCGAATTCTTTTCAATTATTATTATTAATAAATAATTAATTTATATGTAAGTCGACGTTACCGACGTGACGCGTAATATTTTTTTTTCATTAATTTCGCATTATTATGAGATTTATTTATAAATATAAATGCATGTATCTCAAAGATTGTTTCTTCCTCTACATTCACATATAATTTTTATTCATAATTTTGTTGTTATTTAAATGAATAAATTGATTGTTACTCGGTTGATTATAGATCGAAAATTTGCGACGCTCTCTATAATAATCATTAATAAATAATTAATTGAGAAGTATTTTGCATTAAAATTCATATGAGAAAATTGTTTAAGGTTCTATCTTTGAAATGTAAGCTTAAAAGTATAGAATTTTTTTCTAATTAATTATTTATTAACAATTATTATGGAGAGTAAATTTATATCGAAAATTGCAAAGATAATTTAATACAATAATGAATATATTTAATATATTTGCTATTTATTCAAACATTCACATATTCTTTTCATACTCACACATTTATATATTCATCATTGTATTGAATTATCCTTACAATTTTCGATATAGATTTATTCTCCATAATAATTGCTAATAAATAATTAATTAGAGAAAATTTTTACACTTTTAAGCTTACATTTCAAAGATAGAACCTTAAACAATTTTCTCATATGAATTTTAATGCAAAATACTTCTCAATTAATTATTTATTAATGATTATTATAGAGAGCGTCGCAAATTTTCGATCTATAATCAACCGAGTAACAATCAATTTATTCATTTAAATAACAACAAAATTATGAATAAAAATTATATGTGAATGTAGAGGAAGAAACAATCTTTGAGATACATGCATTTATATTTATAAATAAATCTCATAATAATGCGAAATTAATGAAAAAAAAATATTACGCGTCACGTCGGTAACGTCGACTTACATATAAATTAATTATTTATTAATAATAATAATTGAAAAGAATTCGAGTTAAAAATTATATGAGAATATTATTTAAGGTCTTAATTTCAAGATACGAACTTAAAAGTACAGAAATTTTTAATAAAAAATTAATTATTAATATATTTTCGATATATGGGAGGTATTAGGAGCCGCATAACCAAAGTTAGTGGCACGTCTCTTCTGTCCTTTTCGCACGATAGTGCTTTCCTTGTCGCACGAATACCTCCTTGCATATTCTGTATTCCTACTAACTAGTTCGAGCTTCCTGCGTCCAAACGCGAGATGGCGCCACCGGTACTAAATTCGTATATTTAGTTTGTTTCTTATGCGTAAAATGTATTTTGTCAATAATTTATAGAAAAAGAGAAAATAAAAAATATAGTTTTAAGTTTAGAATTATTTATTTGTGAAGTATTGTAAATAAATTCATTTATTAAATGTTCTAAAGTGAAAAAGAAAACTTGTAAACGTGTTAAAAAAGCTAGATAAAAGAAATTTTTTGAAAGAAAGAAAAAATATATAAAAAATATATTACGAAATATAAAATTATCTAATTTAATATGTAAAAATTAATTGTAAATATTATATAAATTGAAGTTCAGTTTTATTTATTATATGTGTTTACGTGTATTTAGATATATGATAAGGTATGCATTTAGATATATATTCTGTAAATTTTGCATCTAAAATTATTTATATATGGATTCGTAGCAATAAAAAAATATTAAAATGAGGAATTATATGAAAACAATAAACGAATCTTTTTCATCAGGTAAAATATTTTAAATTATCAAAGAAAATAAATAAGAGAAATTAATGAGACAGAATAAAATATATAAATATATTAGGTTAAAGTATAAAAATGATAGAATGCATTAATTATTTAAATATCTGGAAAAAAATCTAATTAGAATTTGATAGAACAATAGTGAAACTGAAATGATTGACAACAAGGTAAGATATAGTTTATTATTATTTTTTCTTATATTTTTAGTGCTTATCACGGCCATTTAACATCGATGATCGATATTTCGCCATATAAGTTCAATCATCCAAACGGGCCTGGCAAGAAAGATTGGGTTCATGTGGTAAAAAAATTTAAATACAAAATTTCTATTGCTATATCAAGTTACTTAAATTATAATATCCAATTTATTGAATTATTTGAAATATTAAATATTAATAAGTATTTGATTACCTGTTTATCAAATGATATAAATTCTCTTATATATTAATTTTTAATTAATTTCCAGGCACCTTGTCCTGATGTTTATCGAGGAAAATATCGTGAAATCGATTATCCCAAAGAAGATCTTGGCATGAAATATGCTAACGATGTTAAAGATATTTGTCAGAATCTCAAAAATCAAGAGAAAGGAGTGTGTGCATTCATCGCGGAAAGTTTAATGTCTGTTGGTGGACAAATTCTACCTCCACAAAATTATTTTAGAAACGCATACAAGTATATTTCGATATTAAATTGAATTATTGAATATCTTTAGTTAATAACGCTAATTATGAAATAATTAATTAATTAATTGAATTATAGATATGTAAGAGAAGTTGGTGGTGTTTGTATCGCGGATGAGGTTCAAGTTGGTTTTGGAAGGGTTGGTAGCCACATGTGGGCTTTTCAACTTTATGGTGAAGACGTGATTCCGGATATAGTCACTGTAGGTAAACCTATGGGCAATGGGCATCCGGTGGCGGCCGTGATTACGACCCCAGCCATTGCTGAAAGCTTCAAGAACAGTGGAATAGAATATTTCAATACGGTAAAAATTTAAATTTTTTAATTTTTTTTAATTTTTTATGATTTTTATCCGTTCCATTATTATATTTTTTTATTTATTTATAGGTAAATCTATCAGAATGTGTTCTCCTTGAAGTCATTTTATATGAAATAGTTACACAATTAAAAAACTCGTATAAATCTTGTATATTTTTAGAAATAATCTAATTTATTTATCCTATGTGAAGAAAATAATATGATAAAACTATTCTCTAATGTTTCAAAATATTAGATAGTATTTTTATGAAAATATCTTTCTTACGTGATAAAATAAAACCAAAATTAATCTAATCATTTCTTTCGATCATGAAAAATCACTTAACTTACGAAATAAATTTCCTCGAATTCTAGTATGGTGGGAATCCAGTGTCCTGTGCCATAGCCAACGCCGTGATGGAAGTGATCGAGCGGGAGAATCTTCAAGAACACGCGTTGAAGGTTGGCAATCATCTAATGACAGAGTTAAGGAAACTTGCCAAACGACGAAAGATTATCGGTGACGTACGAGGCGTTGGATTGTTCGCGGGCATCGAGCTGGTTCGTGATAGGATTGAGAAAACTCCAGCAACAGTTGAAGCCAAGCACGTTGTTTCCAGGATGAAGGATAAAAAAATATTGATAAGCAGCGATGGACCGGATGATAATATCTTAAAACTGAAACCACCGATGGTATTCACAATCGAAAATGTGAATCATTTGGTATCTATTTTAGACGAGGTTCTCGAGGAAGTAGATATTGACGTTGAAGAGGTGATTATTAATCGTGATTTATATATTATTAAGATTATTTTTAATTTGAAGATATGGGAAGATATATACATGGAGATTATTTATTTTAAAATTTTTATTTATGAAATTATTAAAGATTTTGGATGATTTTTGTATTAATTGTTTCAAGAAAATAAGGTATTTTAAAATATTTAATTTTTTTATAATTATAAAATTGATATATTTCTTGTTACCTATTGTGGCAAGTAATGATTTTATATAAAAATCTATAAAATGTAATTAATTTATATTTTTAAACTTGAATTACATTGGATATTATTATATTATTGGTATTTTTACTAAAATAATTTTGAAAGGAAATAAGATATTATATATTTCGTAATGTAATATTGTGAAAACATCATGAGGATGGAAAACCGGATGTGAAACGTGATAACTTTTCCAAGTGCACTTATTTTTTTGAATGAAATGAAAGTATCTGACATTGCACATTATGATAACATAGAAATAAAGATTATATTCATTCAAGATGCTATGGTTGATCAATATCTGCTGAATTATTTTAAATTATTTAAATATATTCTTATAGATCATAACTTTTTACAAAAAATTCTTTTACATTACTTCAAAAGCAGATATATTAGTTTAGAATTAATTTTTCATAGAATCTAAAAAAGAAATAGATTATTATTACAGTACATGTATAATTTATTAAAATTTTTAAAAATAGTTAATTATTATTGATAATTATAGCATTAATTTCGAATTAATAACAAAAATTAAAAGAAAATTTATTAGTTAAAATTATAGGAAATTAATTTTTTAAATTTTTGGCTAGTAATATAGACATATGACCATTGTAATACTTTTATATAGAAATTGTATAATAATCTATGTGAAAAAATTAATTGATAATATCAATATGCAATAGTTAATAATTAATTATGCTCGTTTCAGAAATTCCAATCTAGGACGACGATTTTACAAGCCACAATCTCTAAAATGGATGTTGATACGGATAAATCTACATGTCCAAGTGGGAAGCCATTGCTCGTTCGCTAATTAGTCATTAATTTAAAGTGATGTTGTATATGTGTGAATTTATAGAATTGTACGTTGCATATATTTAAAATATTACCGCTCGTGATGTGAATGATTAAACCTGTTATGCATGTATTGGAATGGAAAATAATTTATATATGTATATGTATATGAAAAAAGAATGTAAATGAATAGAGAGAGATGAGACTAAAATTGAGATTTGAGTATATAGCACAAAATGAATAAATGATATATTTTAATAAATATATTTTCTTTATGAATATAATTTATTTTTTACAATTATAATAATTATAATAAAATATAATAAAATATAATTTATTTATTTATATCTATTTATCTATTTATTTTTTTCTATACCTGAATTATCATTAAATTTGAAAAGAATATGATTCAAAATATAAATCTGTATCAATATAGAATTATGTACTTTTAAATTTAAATATATCTAAGTATTATATTATTTTACAACAGATAAAATTCAAATTATTTGCATAAGAAACTAATAGAATATATTAAAATTAAAATTATTTATAAAAGAATTTATTTTTAATTTCTATAAATTAGAAGGTGATACACCATACATTCATTGATTATAACAATTGAATTTTTTTTTCAATCTTTGATATATTTTTAATCTTCTAATAACGATATTGCGGTATAAAATTTAAATTTCACGATTAATCAAGTATTCCATATATTTCTCTTTACTCTATACTATTAGGTAAAAAAAAAAAAAAAAAAAAGAAGAAAAAAAAGAAAAAAACAGCGGGATACAGGATGTAAATATCTAAGAATTCAAAGTTTAACATTGAAAATATCATCGTGAACTCATGACACTCGTGTTATTTTATATATCACATTTTTTAATCAATCGTAATATTTACGAATGAAAATCTCGTGTTTACTTGCATTTATGTTAACGATAAATTTTTTTTTGTATCATTATCACGTGCATCACGAATATTTCGACGATTTCATGTCAAGATACTGATCAATGTATCAGAAAGATTTTTTTTTTTAATTATTAAAAGTAATTGTAAAATTAAAATAAAATCTTAATTATATATAGTCATAGTAATTATTAAAAATTATAAAATATTTTAAATTAAAATCTAGGGGTGAAAATTCAAAGTGGTAAACAAAGATTAAATTTAAGATTAAAAATACAACTATTTACTAAAGATAAATTTTTTATATAGAATTATGTTATAATTTTATACTTGTCGATTACATATTGACCTTATGATCGCATCTTAAAAATCAATTTAAGAAAAATAGATATTATTATCACGTATTCGAAGACAATAATATCGAATCATTTATAGTTACATGTTTTTTTCAAAAGATCTTATTATTATTAGCTGTTGTTACGCCAGAAACAGATTATAGACGCGTTAGAAACGAGCGGAGAGATAAAATAAAAAAGATAATAAATAAAAAAAAATAGACATAATAACATGTTTCAATTTAGCAAAAGAGAAAAATGCTGATTTAGCATAAATTAGATATAAATTGCTAAGCCGAATCAAATGCATCGTTACTTTCTCAAAAGTTGTCTTCAACATGTGGCTACTTATAACGTTTTTACTGCTTGGTAAGAAAATTCTCATCTCAAACCATTCCATTCTTCCATTCTGCTGCTTAATACTTTCGATCGATATCGCTTCATTAAATTTGAAATAAAAAAAATTTTATCATCAATACCGCAATGAAATAATAATAGAAACAATAAAAAGAAATTTTCGTATCTCAAGAGCTGAACGATTCCGAATGAAAATATTCCTCGAATATTTATATTTCAATTTTCCTTCACGAATTCACGAACACGAGTCGAATAAAAACCCTCGATATAATTTTCTTTATAATAAAATTTTAAAGAAAAATCTTTATTTTCTCGCCGCATAACAATAATCTTCCATCTTTAAACGTTCCATCTTCTTCGATATCGGAAAAACTCTAACCATCCCTTCCCGTTCTCCTACAGCGGGAACAGTTTCAGCCGACTTCGAGCACAGCTGGAAAGTCGGGAACGAGTACACGTATCTCGTTCGAAGTCGCACATTGACGAGTTTGGACGATCTGTCGGACGTTCATACCGGTATTCTGATAAAGGCGTTGCTCACCGTACAGGTGAAGGATTCGAACTTGCTTGCCGCGAAAGTGTGGAACGGCCAGTATGCTCGTATCCAGCAATCCATGCCAGATGGGTGGGAAACGGAGATCTCCGACCAAATGTTGGAGCTTCGTGACCTGCCTATTTCCGGCAAACCGTTCCAGATCAGGATGAAACACGGTTTGATCAGAGATCTGATCGTGGATCGCGACGTTCCCACCTGGGAGGTGAACATGCTCAAGAGCATCGTTGGCCAATTGCAAGTGGACACTCAAGGTGAAAACGCCATCAAGGTGAACAGCGTGCAAGTTCCCACCGACGACGAGCCGTACGCTTCGTTCAAAGCCATGGAGGACTCCGTGGGCGGGAAATGCGAGGTTCTCTACGATATAGCGCCTCTGTCGGACTACGCGATCCACAAAACGCCGGAACTGGTGCCGATGCCGACGTTGAAGGGCGATGGACGCCACATGGAGATCATCAAGACCAAGAATTTCGACAACTGCGATCAGAGGATAAATTATCATTTCGGTATGATGACCAACTCGAGGTGGGAATCTGGAACAAATAAGAATGGAAAGTTCTTCTCGGTGAGTTTGGAAGAGGGATCGAATTGACAATTCTTTCAGATTTTGAATTGAATATTCGTAGTCTTAAAAATTTCGAATTCTGAAGGAAAAATGGAGATCGAAACCACTTGCATAACTTTCGTTGTTTCAGAAATCTTCAACGAGCAGAATCGTTATCTCAGGAAGCCTGAAACATTTCACCATCCAATCGTCGGTTACCACGAGCAAGATGATAGTCAGCCCTAGATTCTACCTAGATCAGCGAAACGGATTGGTGGTCGGCAGAATGAACCTGACTTTAGCAAAGATGGAGAAAATGTCGAAACCTCTGCCCACGGTCAACAATCCAGAATCCACTGGCAATTTGGTTTACATCTACAACAATCCTTTCTCGGATATCGAGGAGCGCAGAGTCAGCAAAAATGCCATGAATTCCAACCAGATCGCTTCGGACAACTCTCTCAGCTCGAGCGAAGAAAAGTTGAAGAAGGATATTCGAACTGATACGACCAGTTCCAGCTCCTCCAGCATTTCCAGCAGCGAGGAGAACGACTTCTGGCAGCCTAAACCCACTCTGGAGGACGCTCCTCAGAATTCTCTGCTGCCCAATTTCATCGGGTACAAAGGGAAACACATTGGAAAATCCGGCAAAGTGGACGTAATAAACGCTGCCAAGGAGCTTATCTCCCAAATTGCCAACGAGCTCGAGGATACGAGCAACATCCCCGTTCACGCAACCCTCGAGAAATTCACGATCCTTTGCAATTTGTTGCGCACCATGAACAGGAAGCAAATAAACGAGTTGGAAGGCAACATGCAGATCTCGCCCAACGAGTTGAAGTTGAACGATAAATCTCAGGTTGTGAAGCAGAATACATGGACGGTGTTCAGAGACGCCATTACCCAAGCTGGAACGGGACCTGCCTTCTTGACCATCAAGGAATGGATCGAAAGGGGGAATATAAGAAGCATGGAGGCAACGAACATCATAAGCAAACTTCCAAAGACTGTTCGCACGCCGACTGACAGTTACATCAGATCCTTCTTCGTGAGTACTATCCGACACGAACACGATCGATTTGCACAAATTTCACAAATTTTACAATATTTTCTCAATATTTTCCCAGGAACTGTTGCAAAATCCTAAAGTGAGAGACGAACAATTGCTCAACACCGCGGCCACCGTATCGTTCAGCGAGATGATCCACAACGCCCAAGTGAACAAGAGGAGGATTCACAATAACTATCCTGTCCACACGTTCGGTCGTCTCGCGTCGAAACACGACAACAGCCTCTACGAGGAGTACATACCGTTCCTTGAACGCGAGCTGAAGAAAGCCCATCAAGAAAAGGACAGCCCCAGGATCCAGACCTACATCATGGCTCTGGGCATGATCGGGGAACCCAAGATTCTGTCCGTGTTCGAGCCTTATCTGGAAGGGAAACAGCGGATGACCGTGTTCCAGAGGACGTTGATGGTCGGCGCTTTGGGCAAATTAACCGAAACGAATCCGAAATTGGCACGCTCGGTCCTGTACAAGATTTATCTGAACACGATGGAGAGCCACGAGGTCCGTTGCACCGCGGTCTTCCTTCTGATGAGGACCAACCCACCGTTGAGCATGCTGCAACGAATGGCGGAATTCACCAAGTTGGACACGAACAGGCAGGTGAACTCGGCCGTGAAATCGACCCTCCAAAGCTTGATGAAGCTGAAGAGCTCCGAGTGGAGAGATCTCGCGAAGAAAGCTAGGAGCGTGAACCACCTTCTCACGCATCGCGATTACGACTACGAACTCTCTCGGGGATACATCGACGAGAGGATTTTGGAGAACCAGAACATCATCACCCACATGATCCTCAATTACGTGGGAAGCGAAGATAGCGTGGTCCCGCGCATCCTTTACTCCTCCTGGTACTCCTCCAACGGTGACCTAAAACTACCTTCCACCGAAGTGCTAGCCATGATCTCGAGCGTGAAATCTTTCATGGAGTTGAGCCTGAAGAGCGTGAAAGATCGAGAAACGATTATTTCGGCGGCCGAGAAGATCGCTGAGGAGCTGAAAATTGTCCCCGAAGAGCTCGTTCCTCTGGAAGGAAACTTTATGATAAACAACAAATATTCCTTGAAATACTTCCCCTTCGACAAGCACACTCTCGATAAATTACCCACGTGTAAGTATATTCTTCTTTTTCTTTCTATTAAATTTTAATAAAAAGACTTTTCAATCAGAAATTTCAATCTGAGAGAGGTATCGTCTAACGTTTCAGTGATCTCCAATTACATAGAGGCTATAAAGGAAGGAAGCTTCGTGAACATCAACATGTTGGAAAGCTATGACACAGTGCACAGTTTCCCCACTGAAACTGGCCTACCATTCGTGTATACGTTCAACGTTGTAAAGTTGATCAAGGCAAGCGGAACCGTCCAGGTGCAGATCAATCCCGACTTCGCTTTCATCGCGAACTCGAACGCTCGCCTGGCCTTTTCGAAGAACATCCAAGGAAGAGTAGGTTTCGTCACACCGTTCGAGCATCGACACTTCATCTCCGGCATCGACTCCAACTTCCACGTTTACACCCCACTGAAAGTCTCCCTGGACATGAACACGCCCAAGGGCAACATGCAATGGAAGATCTGGCCGTTGAAGGGTGAGGAGAAGTCGAGACTGTTCCATTACAGCGTCGTTCCATACGTGTCCAACCACGATATTCTGAATCTTCGTCCCCTTTCGATGGAGAAGGGCACTCGATCGATGATCCCCGACGACAACACGTCCCTCGCCCTTCCAAAGACGAGCAGGGGACCGTTCAGGTTCAACGTCGAAACTGGTAAAACTAACGAGAATTTGTGGGAACTGGTCGATACCGAGAAATTGACCGATCGTCTCACCTCCCCCTGGACCATGGACAATGGAAGATACTTCAAGATGGACGTGTACATGAATTTGGAGGGCGAGCAGAAAGATCCTGTAATATTATCCACGTCTTTCGACAGCAAGGTGATGACGGCCGACACGGATTCAAGGAACTGGACACCGAAAATGATGGCGGTCGAGCCGACGGACAAGCAGGCGAACAGCAAAACTCGTAGGCAAGAGATGATGAAGGAAGCGGGAAGGGGTATCGAATCAGCGAAATCGTACGTGGTGGACGTTCGAGTGCACATTCCTGGCGAGTCGGAAAGCGAGACCGTTCTCACGTTTGCCTGGTCGGACAGCAACGTGGAGAGGAAGGGGCGATTGCTCGGTTTCTGGCGCGTCGAAATGCCGAGGAGCAACGTCAATTACGAGGTTTGCATTGGCTCTCAGACCATGATCTCGCCGGAAACTCTTTTGTCCTACGACGAGAAGATGGACCGGAAGCCGAAGATAGATTTCAACGTGGATATCCGTTACGGGGAGAGCTGCGGCAAGGGCGAGCGGATCGATGTGAACGGTAAAATTAGCCAGAGCCACAGGCTTAAGGAGCTGGTCAAGGATACGTCCATAATCAAGGATTGCGTGGAGGAGATGAAACGGGGGAACAAGATATTGAGAACGTGTCAAAAAGCTATCGTGCTGTCCATGCTGCTCGACGAGGTGAACGTCTCGATGGAGGTCCCCTCCGACGCCCTTATAGCCCTGTACTCGCAAGGCCTCGTAACCTTGAGCGAGCTCGACAATTTGGACGTGAGCATGGATCTCTCGAATCCCAAAAATGCCGGCAAGAAGAAGATCGACATGAGGGCTAAACTGAACGAGTACCTGGACAAGGCCGACGTGATTATCAACACGCCCATCATGGATGCACATTTCAAGGACTTGAGATTGTCCGACTTTGGATTCACCGCTGAGGACATTTTGGACACTGCCGACGAGGACCTGTTGATTAACAACATATTCTACGAGGATGAAAGTAAGTTTTTTTCTTGATCAAATCATCTCTCGAATCGAGGCTCACCTTTAATTTAATTCAAGCTTCCTGTATGCTGGACAAAACCCGTGCCCAGACGTTCGACGGCAAGGATTACCCTCTCAGATTGGGCGCCTGTTGGCACACTGTCATGACCACGTATCCGAGGATCAACCCGGACAATCACAACGAGAAACTTCACATTCCCAAGGACAGAAGCGTGAGCGTCCTCAGCCGGGAGAACGAGAGCGGGCAGAAGGAGGTGAAGATACTGCTCGGAAGCGACAAGATCAAGTTCGTGCCTGGGACGACGAGCCAGCCGGAAGTGTTCGTGAACGGAGAGAAAATCGTGGTGTCCAGGGAGAAAGCTTATCAGAAGATGGAAGGAAACGAGATCATTTTCGAGATCTACAAGATCGGTGATAGATTTATCGCTCTGACGTCCGACAAATTTGACGTATCCCTGGCTCTGGACGGGGAACGCGTCATGGTCAAGGTAATCACGAAATCTCGAAATCGTCTCGAGTCTCGTTGCTAATCAATAATTAATTTAAAACTCGTTCACAGGCGTCTGAAGATTATCGCTACTCCGTTCGCGGTCTCTGCGGCAATTTCGACCACGACTCGACCAACGACTTCGTGGGACCCAAGAACTGCGTATTCAGAAAGCCCGAACACTTCATAGCCAGCTACGCTTTGATCAATGACCAATGCGAGGGCGACTCGTTGAACGTGGCGAAATCTCTTCGGGATCACGATTGCATCCGACAGGAGAAGACCCGGGAGAGCAACGTGATCAGCGACAGCGAATCGGGACGATCGGACACCGAGATGTCGAGCTGGGGCTACCAAAACGTTAACAAACGTTGCATGATTCACAGGACCCAGGTGAAGGAGACCGACGACAAGATCTGCTTCACAATGCGTCCAGTGGTCTCTTGCGCGTCTGGATGCACGGCCATCGAGACCAAATCGAAGGCGTACAAGTTCCATTGCATGGAGAAGAACGAGGCCGCGATGAAGCTGAAGAAAAGAATCGAGAAGGGCGCCAATCCTGATCTCAGTCAGAAACCTGTTTCCATCACCGAGGAATTGAACGTTCCTCTCGTCTGCAAGGCTTAACTCGAAATGTACTTTGTCGCTTTGTTTCGTTTGGAATAATAATTAAAAGTAGTTTTATAGCAGAATATTTACTTTAATAAAATTCATTTTCAATAATCTTTTGAATCCTCTCTTTCGTTTCTCTTTATTTTCTTTTTTTTTTTGCTCACGATTGAGTACACAGGTTTAAGATCATAATCAAGGGATGAATTGTTTGGAAAATAGAGGGTATTCTTTGATCAAAAATATCGATCACGTTTCATATAACGTTAACAAGATTGTTGGTCATTGGATTGATTTTTTAATTCTTCAGCATCGAGCGATCCATTGGTGACACGAACGATAATCATAGTATCAATGTGTCATCTGAAAAAAATTAGCTAACAACATTGAAAATAATTCAAGATCGTGAATAAATAACGATTAAGCGTAAACCTGGATCGTAAAAGCATCGAACGCTTGATTTTTAATTTTAGTTCCATTTGTTCTTCGAGGTTTGTCATATTCCATCGAATATATCATATTGATTGATCGGTGGAAGTATTTAAGAAAACACAATTATGAAGCATCGTGAACGGGGCATTTCAGGTGTAACCGGTTCAGGTGACAATCCATTTTCTCGATTTTCTCAAGAAGCAAGTCTTTCTTGATGTAACAAGCCTCCTGCTCGAATTCTTTTCTTAAGGAACACGCTTTCTTCTGTTCTTCCTTCTTTTTTACGTTCGATTTACAGTCGTACGTTTCCTCCAAAGAAGTTAGTATGCGCATATGGTTCAGTTTTCGCATACTCTTCTCATGTTCATCGTAAGGCTCGCCTAAATTTATCACAGGGCCAATGGAATATCGAACTTAAATTTAATATTTCCTTTCAATTTATTACTTCTGTATAGCGGCATCGCTTCCGCCTCCAGCCTTTTTTGGATTTCACGAATCTCCTTCTCGCATTTCTCGTAATAGGTGCCTCGTAGAATGAACGATGGTTTCTCATCGATTTGACATTTCTGACACTTCTCCTTTGGTCTCAATTTTTTATTTCGTATATAATGTTTATACTGCAAGCATTTCAGCATCGCCTCGATAAAAGTGAACTTGGTATTGTCAATTTTCGTGAGCACGCCTGGCCGGCACGTAGTTCTCAACAAATGGTGAAGCTGTAACACGAAATTTGATTTCCAACCAAGTAATTTTAATCGTTTCAAACTTACCTTGAACAGAATGAAAAGTATCCATTGCATCGACTCTTCTTCCATTATTTTTTGAACGTTTTCGATCTCCTTGTTCCTGAATCTAAACGATAAAATATTTCCAATTGACTCTTTTAATATTTCATTTCTTTTAGCGACGTAAAATTTATCACAAATAATCTTTGAACGATTTAAAAATGATTAATCAAAATCATCTTTAAATATATTTATTTCAACGATTCCTTTTTTTCTTTATTAAATTAAAAAAAAAAGAAATGCGTGGATATAAATGTTATTTCGTGAATATAATATGAAATTCAAGGAACAGGAATAGGATTTTTATTAAATAAAGAAACCTCTTCATGTTGTTCACAGTTTCCTCGTTCTTTTCGTATACTTCGTTCAACCAACAATGCATCTTTTTAATGTTGAGCACAGTTTTCCTCTGCCAATAACCGCGCCAAAACGCTTGAATCTTGACCGCCATCTTGTTGTAATATTCCTGCCACATTTGATGAACACTTTGAATCATGTATTGCTCGAAAATGATCCTGGCACAATAGCCCCGCCAATGACGTTGAATGATGATAGCGCTCTCGTGCAGCAATCGAAGATGATTTCTAGTGAGAATGCCGCGGATCCAGGCCTGCACTGCCCACCCAAAATCCAATTGAACCGAATTGTAACATCGGAAGAACGATATCCTAATTTCAATCGAACAAAGAAGTAGAGAATTCCCGCTTAAAGGGAAAAATTTTTTCATAGAGAATCATAATTCATATATATATATATTTCTTCGATATTTTATTACACACAAACTCTACAATGTTTCAAGACATTCGAAATAATTCTATTTTTCTATTTTCTATTGTAAATCGAAATATATATATATATTTATAGATACACCTAGATTTTTCCAATAATCAATTAAGTTTAGTATAACAGAGAGATAACGTGCAAATTAAAAATAATCCATATTTTCTCTCTGTTTATTAAAGTATATATATATATATTAAAATCACGAAATGTATCCTCAGGTGAGAATCTTGCAAAGTGTATCAAGTGCAACGATACAAAAAGCGAAAAACAACAACGGAGGAGTCGTGGATGACTCGTAGGATCGATGTGTCGTGATCTTGACCTTAAATAATCGATATCTCACGGACCGGTTACGGTTACAACACTGGAAGCTTTATTATTAGCGAGGCTCGTCGTTCAGATAAGAACGATAAACTCGGGCAGAAAATGTCGTTATCGTAGGTTGGGGGTTATCTTATTCGCACGTTCTCAGGGATCTGAAAGCATCCCTGGAAAAAACTTTTTCTAGGAATTCCCCTATCCAGGTTATCTCGAACAAGCTTCATTAACCTGTATCCTTCGTGCAGCGATGAAATACAAATATCTGGTCGCTTCTGCCATACATTCTTTTCGTCTGATGTCGTCTTCGAATTGAACGAAATCTATCATTAATTCTTTCACCGATGCCATTTTCGATGACTTTCGTTTCGACGAGATTCGGACGTCGGATGTGGGAAATTATTATTGTAATGGAGGAATCTAATGTCGTTTCTAATTGTACGACATGTGATCGTGAACTTTGCTGCGAATTTCAATTTATTTATTTTTTTAAAATAATGACAATACTTCACGGGGAGGATTTTTAAAATAAAATAAAATTGAGGAAAATATGTCCGTCGAGATTGAATTTTCGTCGTGTATTTGTATTGATATGGATTACTGGATTCGATAATTCTACACGACGGTTGTTCAATCAAGAAGAAATATGTATATGCAGAAAGTTAGAAAACGATATATTTTTCTGGCTAATAAATTATTTATTTTCTCGTATATCTCAGAAAATCTTATGCGTTACGTTTAATAATAATAATAATAACAATTTTTCAGAGAATCCCTACGTAGAGTAGAAACACGAAGAGGGTCGTGGAGAGAAACATAAACGTCACCGTCATCGCCGCCATAATGGCGTTCTTCCTCTTCTTGTTCGTTCTTGCCAATACGTGAAAATCCTTTGACTGTACAGAGTAAGAAAAATGGAGAAAAATTCTTAGCAATGTATCAAAATCTAATTTTCAGATTCGGTTTCAAAAACTTTAACCCAACCATTATTTATGCAAATTACTCCTCGTTTATTTCGATTAAAACTTCGAAAGTTTCGAGTTATTTCATAAAAACAACAACAACAACAAAAATGTTAAGAAAACTCGAAACTTTTCCAAATTGAATTTCGAAAATTGTTCAATTGTCGTTAATCTTTTTTCTGCAAGACAGATTGAAGAATGTGGATAGAGAGGGAAAGTAATTCGAAAGGGATTTTTAATTATATAAAAATACAGGTTGGCAAGTTTAGAAGCGTGAAGGATCGTGGTTAATCGAGGTTCGATACAGAGGCAATTAATATTCGTATCGTTTCAACGCGTATAAATATAAAAAAAGCGTAATCTCGACACGCATTACTCTCGGCGAAATAAATCGATTCGCGGGGTCGTAGTCGTGGACGCGTTATTGATCGATGGGGTCGTTTCAATGAATATTTTTCACGGTGCCGATCTAATTATGCACCTTCGTTACACGATTTATTTATACAACATCGATCAAATTGATATTTGATATCGCAACCCGATTTACCATAATTTGCAAGCTCTGAGTCTTTCGAACGAGTTCGTCAAGCCTCTCGCCTCTGTCGATCAATTTCTGAACCCCGTCCATCAATGTTTCGCGAATTTCCGCCAGTTCTCCTTCCAATCTTGGTATCACGTCGGTATTATGTTGATTGTATTCATCCTGAAACGTGTAATTCAGCGTTTTTTTATTTTATCAAACGAAATGTCTTAAATTCAACATACCACTATCTTTTTCAGAGGTTTCGAGAGATCGATGATAGTCAAACTGGTTAGATCTCTCGTCAGATCGGCCAGGATAGGAAGCTCTTTGTAAATGTTTCTCAACCTCTCCAGAAACACCTGGGAACAAGATTCCAGCTTGGCTGCTGACGAAGGGCAATCCGGTTTCAGGGTCAGACAGGCGTAGTGAAGTTCACCGATGAGCACGTGTACCGTGTACCTGTGGAGAAATGATATTTTCCAAGATTTCAGGAACCGTTATCAAGGAACGATTTTTATGAATTGTTATTCGCGAGAGATGAAGCAAGAGGAAAGTAGATTTGTCCATTTGTAATGATTTTATGGAATTAAAAAAAAAAAAAAAAAGAAAGCACTCATAATTATTATCTTAACTTGATATTAACACTAAGTGTATTTTTTAATTTTTTATTTTCATTCCAGGAAAACTTTAATCCATACAAATTTTACAATCGCGTGTAAAACTCAAAACTCGTTAACGATAAGAAATTTAATTAATTATTCACATTAGACACATAAAAAGATCGCAATGTACAGGAATCTATTTAACGAGCACGATAAATTCAAAAATACATTCACCCGTGCGCAAACATTCTTTGCACTCTTTATCGTGTAACATTATATTTGAAATTTTTTTTTCTCGCCACTGATTATCCCCGAGAGAGAACGTCAACGTAATTAAACACATCCGAATGTTTCCACTCTCTCGAACAATAATAATTCTTTCATTCGAGCATTCGAATAATAAAATTCCCTATTTCGAACGAAATATTCAAAAAACGAAATTCTTGAAAAATCGTGCGATTCAAATTATCGCGCTTACTTGCCCCGATCGAAGCTGATCTTGTCGTTCTCCACCGACTTTAGTCCATCGACCGTGCTCAAAGCGATCTCCCTGTAAGCTGGATCCTGCTTCGCCGGGTAATCGGCCACGATCTTGCACCCCGACTTCTCCCAGAACGCCACCAACGCGTAATGCACCGTTCTATTCATCCTCCTTTCCCCCGACACCTTATTCTCGGAATCAGAATAAAAGTATTTCCAATATTCGAAGCATCAATTACCAGCGAAAATGGTATGGCGAAGGAACGAAACTCGACTCGCCCTTTCTTCTTTTTCCCTTTTTCCTTTCACCTCGATCGATCCACTCCAATTGTTCGAGATGATTGATGCTTCCAAAAAATCGACGCTCGTCGATTTTGGTGGACGCAAGACGGTGCACTCGCGTCGTTGAACACGGAGGATCATTCGCGGACCGATTCACTGGAACGTCTGCGTCGGCTATCGACGATGACTTCTCCTCTCTCTCTCTCTCTCTGCTTGTTTACCAGGTCGGTTTGTATCGGCAATGAAAGAAATTTCGATAATGGCCGATAACGAAGTCGCCTCGTAAGGAGAATGACTTCTTTCTTTCTTCTGCGATTAGATACGACACGCCTATGTTTTCGTTCGTAGCAACGAAGGGGAAGTTCGTTGTGAAGAGATTTAGATGCACGGGCGTCGATTAATCCCTGGATCGGTTTTGATGATTGATTTTATTGATTTTATTTGTATTTAATGCCAATTCACTTTTTATTCTTGGAATATTCGTGTTACAAATTCATCAAGTACAATGTATCGACAAAATTATCGAAACGAAGTAAATTGGAATAGAAAGCTTTTTAATATATTCTTTAAATGGTATATTTTCAATGATTACTTATTTAATTGGAAAAATAACATTTTAGAAGTGGATTACAAAAATACGTTTAAAGAGGAAAGAAATTAAAATTTGGAGCCCTCGTAACGCGTTAGAAATTAATTTTACGAAAACTGTCGTTTGAAAATTAAATCTGGAAGATTACAAAGGCAAATTTCTTTGAAAAATAATAACAATTTTGACTTTTTTTTTTAATTCGGTACTATTATATACGAATTTTACGTTTTTTTGTGAAAAAAAATCTCTGTAAACTATTATTTGTTTAAAGCAAATATTTTTAGCCACACAGAGAACTATTCGTGACTACGAGTGGGCATAAAAAGTTAAAAGTATAAACGAGTTTTAAATTCTGCATGACGAAATGATTACGAGTATATTTATAACGAATTGCGAGTAGTGTTATATAAATTGTTTATATATCTACATTAAATGCATGGAAGATAGAAAAAAAAAGATTAACCGACTTTTTTTCTCGCGAAAATTAATTAATCTAAACTTGGAAAATAGATAGAAGGCATTATCTTGTTTACGAATTTATACTAGAACGTATTGTTAATCAAATTGTTGAAATTATTAGAGAAAAGATATCTGCTTCGTATCTTTTAACCGATCGAGGAACATCAATCCATCAATTGATGGATCATATTGGATAAATAGATTCCAAAATATATTTGGAGATTTCCAAATATATTTGGAAGAAAAAGAAATTAATTGAATCCACGAGAGAGCAGCCATTGCTCGATCATTTGCATATTGGTATCCATCCAATCGATATTGTTTTCTATATCTTCGATAGTGTTTCTCTTCATGCTCATGGTTATTTTTAAATCATTTTTTTTCAAAAAGAATCTTCTTGCCTATAGAAATAATAATTTTTCTTTTTGATGATTCAGTTTTAATTAAAAAAGGATCGAAAATTCATACAATTGTACAAATTATTCTTTACATAAATTTCCAGAATTTCGAATTTTCCAATTATATATATTTTTTATCTCGAATATCAAAGATTTTCGAGATATAAACTTAGTTTTAACAAATTTTATATATACCTTCACAAAAATGATCTTACCTCCTCTAACTTTTGACGATCCTTGAACAAAGATAAGATTCCACAAGTAAGTTTTCCTAGAATGTAGTCGTTCGTTTTGTATTTTGCGCGTAGCTTTACCCAGTTTTCTCTACGAGAAAATTTAATATGATTTGTAGATCCATTGATTTAAACAATGCAAATTTAACAAAAGTTCTCCTCCATCCGAAAAAATTCATCAGTTACTTTACGAAATTCCAGGCGACATCCAACCCCATGGGATTCAAGGCAATCTTCATCAGCAACGTGGCAAAATCTTGCTTACGAATGAATTCCTCGTCCAATGCTTGCGTGAGATATCTAAAATCGAAGAGAAAAATCGAAGAATTTATCATTTCTTTTGAAACTAAGAAAAATATTAATTTGGAAATCAATCGATTTGAAAATTTTAAACAAAAAAATCACGAATCACAAAAGCGATTGACGATCCAAAGATTTCGTAACGCTCCTTCGACTCCGTCTGTATTCGCACATTCGTCTATAAATTTATATTCGAGAAGCGGCATAAATCGGATGCGGCTTCGACAAATTGGACAGCGACACGCGACGAAATAACAGAGAGGCCTCGAATCGTCGAAGGAGAGTTGTTGGCAATTAGCTTGCGAATGAATCGCTGCCTGACGAACCGTTTAAGAATATTTTTGTCCAGAACTCCAGTCAATCCGATCATCATGCGTTCCTTTTCCTGTACGTCTTGCTCCATCTTCAATCGTTGCGACATATTCTTGTATATCGATCCAACGTCGCGCGTAAACAGGCCTATTCGTTCGATTATTGTATATAAAACAAGAAAAAGAAAAAATATTTTGCCAAGTTATCCTCTCTCACCATACGAATACACGATAGACCGAATATCGACTGGCAACGGTTCGTGCTTCACGTTCTGCAGAAAATTCTTCAACCATTTTCCGGCTTTCTCGAGGCAGTCCTCGTGGCCCACGCTGCAAGCTGCGTTCAATATCAATACACGAAATTCTCTTGAAACGAACGGAAACAAGACAAGATTTTCTTAATGGATGGCTTTTCGTAAAAGTATGTAAGAAGAGGAAGTATGTGACAGAGGTTGTCTGAAAAAGTTCTTTTTGGATTTTTAGTATACGGATATACTGTTCTTTTCTTTTTTTTGTGATTTTATTTTTCCATAATGAAGAAAAAGTGATAATGTTAACGAATTGGAACTTTCTAATAAAATCAATATTGAAACGATAGCTTGGCGATTTTACAATGGAATTCAGTTTGTAACAAGTTTGAGTTGTTAAATATAATAATGTTTTACAAATCATCAAGAAAATAATAAAAGAACTTTTGAATGGATAAGTTTTTTTAATAAAAAATAAAATAATTCTTTTATTATTGTTTTGAGATCGATGTACGAAAAGAATTCATGAAATTGGATAGTATTAAAGAGATATTTATAAATTTCTCTTACGAAAGATAATTTCTTACATAGATAACAAAAATGATCTCTTCTCGTTCTCAAATAATTAAAAGATTTCCTGTTATCACGCAAACTCAAACTAACCTTTCTTTAAAGGAATCCTTTAAATGAAAGTTCCACTTGATTTTGCGATAAACATTGTCGATTAGATTCTTCGCGTATGACTAAGAAATTTATAACAGAAAAATATAATGATTGTTACGATTATAACTTTATTTCTATATATATATATATATTTTTTTTCTCCACATTACTTGGAAACGTTTAAGCAGGGGTGTCCCTGCAAGCAATCTGTTCATCTGGTTGAACCATTCCACAGTAACGACCCACGGTTGATAAGCGTTTTCCTTCACTAGATAAGAAGTTAGGTTCATGACTATAAAGTAATTCAAATCAGTTTCCGCTAAAAGAAAAGCATCGTGCAACAAATCCGCCCTGTTTATAGCGTTCAAAGCCTGAAATCGTTTCAACGTGAAATCAAAAGCTGACAATTACGAAAAAATTCTTAGAATTATACAAAGTAATTGTGACGCATACTAAATGATTGTCTGATAATAATTTGCTGAACGTATTCCAGGCATCTTCCGTGTAATTCACAATGTAATAACCGATCGAATTGTGATTCATTTTGATCCAATCCACCGATCTTCCCAGCGATAATTCCACTGCAATTTGGAGTGTAATGTTAAAAAATTGGGGATGAAAATTTGTGTGCTATTATTACCGCAAGAATAATTAGCGAGAAACCAATCCAACTTGATTTTATCTTTTTGTCTGCTCGTCACGTATTTAATGGGAATGGTCCAGCCTGTACTAAACAAAAATGAAATTTCGAAAAATTTCACGAATATTTTACTCCTTCTCATAATTGTCTTCTGATCAGATCTTGAAACTCTCGAAACATCGAACGATTTGTTTTTTCCTTTCTCTATTCGTCTCTGAGATTCTTTCAATTCACTCAAAATTTTAATCTATGAAATATATACTTTTCATTCTCCAAGCATTCGATTTTCGAATAAAAAAAAGTTTCGAACGTCTCATCTCTAATTTTTTTTATCTTATTTTGTTACTTTTTAATATATTCTATCTTTTCCTTTAACGTCACTTTAATATTTTTTTTTTTTTTTTTGACTCTTCATCTTTTTCCCTTTCTAGATCGTTATTCACTTTTTATACGTACTCGATCGTTTCATTGAGTCGTCTGCTCGTCACGAAGCGTCGTCGAAGCAGTTGAAAATCCGCTTTGTTTCGGCGGACGTTGACCACCGGAAATCCGGGGAATCTCATCCATCGAGAGACGAAATCTACGATATCGATGGTGGGGTGCGTATTGTTCGCCAGGATATCGAAGAATTCTCGAGAATCCACATTACGAAACTGATAGGTTTTCAGATACTTTCCGACAACAGAGAACAAGCTGGCATTGCCAATAGCGTCCTCGAGCATCCTAATCACCGACGCAGCCTACCATTCAACCAACCACAATTGCTGTACTTTCTTTGTCTTCCCTCCGTGCCACTCTTTGACATTAATTTCATCATCAAATTCAATCTCTCCAAATAATCTACTTCTTCTTGCAAGAATTTTCATTCTCTACGAATAATTTTCTCAACGTACCTTTTGATAAGTCACCGGATCGAATAACTCTTCTATCTCCTCTGGATCCTCGATCCGTTTCACGATAGGGCGAGCACGCAGTTTCACATCGTGTTTCATAGAGACGTATTTAGTGTATAACGGGAAGGAATCCATCTGATGAGAAAGAAGATAGATTTAAAGTTACGGATTACGTGAAATTCATTTTAATCAACTAGATACTAGAAGAACTAGATCTATTCAAGGGATGAATGTTGACCAGATTCCAGTCGGGGAACAAAGAATTAATGGCCAGATGCTCCATGTAAGTGGCGAATCCTTCGTTCAACCAAAGATCGTCCCACCATTTCATGGTGACCAGATTGCCGAACCACATATGGGCCAATTCGTGAGCGATCGTCAAGCTTACGCTTCTCGTATTGATGCAAGAGCTGTTTTCGCTGTGAAGCAGCTCTGTTTCACGGAACGTGATCAAACCCCAATTCTCCATTGCGCCGGCCGTGAAATCAGGTATGGCGACGAGATCTGAGATGGGAGATGAATAACAGAATAATTATTCGAAATTGCTATCATTTGAGATAAATTGGTGTCGGTCTATTTTCTGAAAATTGCCAGTATTGGAAATAAATGAGGCAGAAATAAACGAAGGCCGCAGGGGAGAAACTTGATAAGCTTATTTTTATCGTTTCTCTGTCTTCATTCTACGTCATCCGTGGTGAAATAAAAGAGAATGTTTTAATATACGAAGGGAATGTACATGGGAAAATTTAATTTCAACTTTCAAGATAGAATATTGGGAAGATTATATAACTCGATATAATTTCAAGCTATTAAAATTGTAAGATCGATGGGTCGATTCTTTAATTACCAAGCTTTGGTAGGGGATAATCGATCTGAAACGTGTCCAGGAAATACTTCATCGTTCTAACTGTGATGTTCAAGGAGAATCCCACTTTGTGCTTGAACATAGGCCTCACGCAAATAGTTATTGGTATTTCGTTTCCATTTAAGAGATCCATATTGGTTCCTACACATTCGAAGTCACTCACGAGAAAGCCAACGAGATAAGTGGACATTGGTGGTGTGGGATCGAAGTGTGCGATTACTTTGTCCTCCTCGCTTTTCATCGCCTCTACTTTCTAACAAAAGTAGCGCATAATCGTTGTATATCTTTAATAATAAACTGGCCACAGTGATTCGATTACCTTAAGAGGCATGTTCGATTGTGCATGATACAAAAACATTTTCGTGAAAATGATATTAATAACGAAAATGGCTTTGAAATTTGGCTCGTCGAAGCAAGGGAACGCAGTTCTGGCGTAATGTGGCTCGAATTGCGACACCGCTAATTTTCTGCGCAAAATAGAAAATCCGAATTATCATTCGATTCTATTTCTATATGATTTATCCGAATATTATACACATATATATCAAACGCATTTTACCTAATTGATTTATCAAAATAAGTGCTTAAGTAAAATCCGGTCATTTTTTGGGTCAGATTACCGGTGAAATCCATTTTCAAAAAGTATCGCCCCTGGGAGATATTTCTATAAGTATTGATCACCAACATCTCGCGTTTCATCAACTTAACGATAGATTGTATTTGAACTTCTGTCTCCGGTTTTTCTATGTACAATTTAGTCGACGATATGGTTAAATCCTTCGAGTGTAAAATGATGTGACTTCGGTTCTTTAAAAAGAAAAAGAAAAAAAAAAAACAAATTCAAATTTTTACAAATAATATTTTACGTATAATCCTATTTTGTTTATCATATCAAAATTACTAACATTTAATAATTCGAGATCTATACGAACGTTACCGTGAAATTCATTTTTATTAAAATCAGGCGAAATTGTAATCACATATTTCTTGGGAACTACATCTTCCGGGAGACGTTTCTCGATTTCCATAGACTCATTGTGTGGACTTAAATTATCGAGAGGAACCTCGGCGTTGATCGCACGAGGATCTTTCGTCTTCATTAAGACTATTGTAATTAAGATAAATGGCCAGCCGGTCATTTCCAGAACAAAGATTCCTTGTTTCAGCCACACGATTTCTTTATCGTGTCACGGAGTTTAAATTATTGAAAGATGAATCTTTTTTCTTTTCTTTTCTTTTTTTTTTTTTTTTGCTTACTGAAGTCTCAATACATACGATACAAATCACTTAATCTCTTCTTCATAAGGTTTAAAGATTATTGATTCGAAATATATTCGTTTTATATTAAATATTATTTTCATTCAAAGGAAACTGGATGATTTATAACCATAAGGATGGGTTAGATGTCTTCATGTCAAGAGATATACTCTGCTCACTTCACTTTGTCCGTACAAATCGTCTTGATATTTGGAAACAAAATTTTAAAAAGTTGATTAGAAAAAAAAATTGTTGTCGTTGTTTCGTACACATTGTATAAGTTAATGAAAAGATAACTCGTGCTGAAATAATTGCTACCTATACTGTAGTAATACTAAAGTGAAAGTAACCAGAAGAGTGGTCATGAACAGACTTCGTAGTAGGCTAGTGAGAGTATTTTATAGACAGAGAGAATGTGTTCAGTGATGAGAAGGACGAGAGAAATCCAGACTATGTGGAGAGGGAAATATATAATTCTTATATAACGTTGGGAACCGGTTAATTCACAGTGACTTACAGTGTCTTACACTTGACTGTACACTTTGTGTCTACTCCATTCATTTTCAGAATAATAATAGTGTCAATAAAGGAATAATCTATCATCAAGTTTCATAAAATTTTGTGTACAATTGAAATTAGTGATTATTAAAAAGGAAAAAGATAAAAAAGAAGAAGAAAGGTTTAAAATCAATCATTACATTTCACAGATTAACGACAATGGCGAGTTACAAATTAGTATACTTCAACGTAATGGGACTAGGAGAACCCATCAGGTTTCTTCTTAGTTATGGAGGCGTCGAATTCGAGGATATTCGCATAACTCATTCTTCGGAAGATTGGAGCAACATGAAGCCAAGTATAACTCATTCTTTTTTTTTTATTCGATAAAAATTTGAGAATTTCAACCTACATTTTGATGTTTTCCTAGCGACCCCGTTCGGTCAGCTGCCCACGTTGGAAATCAACGGCAAAGTTTACTCGCAAACATTACCTATTTGCCGTTACCTGGCCAAACAGTTTAATCTGCTTGGCAAAACTGATTTGGATACGTTGCAGATCGACGCGATCGCGAGCGCTCTTTACGATTTCAGATGGCGTAAATATTGATTTCGTTCCCATGCAAATTGATTCCTTCACGAACGAATATATATACTAACGTGAATAATGTTTCGATTCAGCTACGTGATCGATAAATTTCCTTTCCTTTTTTCCAGTGACAATATCGTCTTATTATAGAGAATCCGATCCTGTTTTAAAAGCGAAGAAGAAAGTCGATGTAATGACAAGGGTGATACCGTTTTACTTGAATAAATTGGAGGAATTGGCAAAGAACAATGGAGGCTATTTGCATGGTGATAAGGTGAGCGTATTATTCATTATAATTGTAAATGGGTTATGAAATTCGTTGAGTTATATTTTATTTATTTTTAGTTGAGTTATGCTGATCTGTTTTTCGTCGGCATCTCAGATTCGCTGAATACGGCTTATGAATCGGATATCACGAATGACAAGCCCTATCTAAAATCTCTGAAGCAAAAAGTATTGGCGATTCCAAATATCAAAGCTTGGGTGGAAAAAAGACCAAAATTGGAATTTTAATGATCGATATATATATTTTTTTTTTTGACGTTTATAATGTAAAAAGTGTGCATTTGTGTATTGTATAAATATAACGAAAGCTCAAATTCAAATATTAGAATTGCATTTTAATTGTTGCGTAAAATGATAATTCAAATTTGGCGGTATTGCATATGGTCTGCTAACTTACCAGCTGTTGTTTGCATATTTTAATGTTTAATCTTTAATGAATATACGATCATTAAATATACAATCATGATAAACTAATAATATTAATTAAAATTACATTTAAAATGCAAATGAAACAAATATTGTAATTGAAAATATTTGAAAATGTTCAAATGTTTCCGTTTTCGATGTCTAACAAGTGGCCTAGTAACCTAATTGAATAAAACGTTCAATGAATCTGTTTTTGAATTTTTTTCTCTCTTTTATATCGGTCTTTCGAACAAGGAAATCATATCGATTGATTTTATTATTTTAAAAAAGATTGAATTTTAATTTATTTAGATGTAAGATCGTCGATTGACCATGGCGGTTAGTGGCGCCTCCACTCGGTAAACGGGTGGCGGCAGCTGGTGGCGGCGCGGCCAATAAGCGCTCTCGAATGATCGCTGCGCGTGGAGGGCTGCGCGACCGTCTCCTAGCCGCGGAGCCGTCAGTGTGCGCGCCGCGGAGAGCCAGACAGACAGACATCTTGTAGTAGAATTTAGCGGCGTGGTGTTTTCGACCGTGGGTGTCGGTGTCACGGTTTCGTGTCGCGGTGCTCGTCATTACGGTGTCGTCGCCGTCGCCGTCGTCGTGGTCGTCATCGTCGTCTTCACCGTCGTCGTCGCCGCCGTCGTCGTCGTGATCGTTCTCCCTGTGTTCACGCCGCAATCGTGTCGTTGTCGTTGTCCTCCGCTTCGTCGACGTCGTTGCTGTCGTTAATAATCATCGTCTTACGATTGTCGTTTACCGGAGGTTTTGTCGTGCTGCTCGTGTGGTGGTACCGCGGTTGCGAGACCCCCTCGGTGCGGGCCGTGCAGCTCGCGTGGTCCAGCGATCCAGTTACTCGCCCCGCAAAAGGCGTTGGTGGTACCTTTTGTCGGGCAGAGGGAGAGAGCAAGAGAGCAAGCGAGAGAGGGAGTGAGAAAACGAGAAGAGGCATACTGTAGGTCAGTCGGTGTAGTAAATATACGGGAAGTGAGAGGAACACGGCAGAATAATTTCTCACTCTGCAAACGCCCAATGAACAACGCTTCAGAGCCACCGATGTGCCGCACCGTGCGATAACTTCCGTCACCTCTCCGACCCCCGTCTCCTCCCTCCCCTACTCCGTGCGTGTATGTGTGTGTGCCGCGCCGGGCTCTCGAGGTGAAAATACCGCCCTCTCCTTCCACCCAACCCCCCGTTGGAGAGGAACCTACCTCGCGCGAGTAACTACGGCTAGAGAAAGAAGAAAAAAACAGTGACAGAGTGACACGGTGAAAGAGTGGGAGAGAGACGATCCTGTGTGACCGGGAAGAGGAAGAGTGAAATAGAGAAGAGCGAGGAGAGAAAGAGAGCGAGAGGCCGGCGCCCACCCGTCAACTATCCTGATACAGCATGACCTCGAACAACTCGCAGAAGCTCTCCACGACGGAACGAGTGATCAAAAGTAAGCGACATAAATATTTTTCTTATAATCGCGATCGTAAATGGTATATCGTTGTATATGATATACGATGCCAGCTTGGCTTTGTACGTACGTGTCAGTGTACGCGCGATCTTAACTTGTGTGTACGTGTGCATGGCCCTGCGGCCTCGTCTTTTCCGGCTACCTCGGTCGGTACGTCAGTTTACTCTCGCATTTCTCAACTTGCATTCGTTTTCCTCCCTATCGTATTATTAATATTACTCGGATGAATCTTATCTATCTACGTTACGATTATCTTAATTCTTCAAACAAAATGTCGTATCGTGATGTTTCGAAAACGAATGAGAAATAAATAGGCACGTCAAAACACGTCGCGTGCCGTACAGGATTGATTTTCTTCGTAGCTTCGCGGCGCCATTGCTATCGACCTGCCAGTATTCTCATTGACCCTTCGAATCATGCTTTTCCACCCTGTCGTTTTATCTGCAGTCCCTTGTGTACATAGAATTTCATGAATAGATCAGAAAATAGCATTCTATTCCCTAGTCCATTATAGTTTCTCTCGATTTATTTCTCGCGCGATAGAACCTAACCTAATTCGTGTTTTACCCATCAACCCCGCCTCCCCCGCCATCTTCTTGTCTGCAGATTGTGCGGCTCGCGCGGTTAGCCTCGTTTCCACGAGGTCGAGGAACGGAATCGTCTCGAGGACGCGTCACGCCGCTCGAGGATTTCGCGTCTGGACGTCGTCGTTCGAACAGCTGACCGGCTCGCGTGTATGTGCACTAATGCGTATCCAATGTAAATATGTGTTTCGTAGCCAAAGAAGCAATCATTCGCGTTAACATAGTTTTTACAGGAGTGTTAAATGATAGATTAATTTAAAACGCATTTTTGATCGTTCATTTTTCTCAGTACCTTCACATTGGTGCAGTTTCAAACGACCTCGTTTTTATTCCGCAGAATAATTAACATCTCTGTTGGTAACCAGCAAACGCAAAAAATGCGGTCAAACGTTGCGCTATGAAACTCGTCGATATGTAGTCGTTAAGGAGCTCTCTGCAATGACCTATATTCATAACGAAAATGATTATTTTTGTAAAGAATAAAAATGATTATGTTCGATTCTTTTCATCATTCACGTTCTCGTTGTTCACTTCATCGATCACTAGTTTATACTTTCGCACTTTTAACCGCAGTGCGTATTGCATTCGTACAATGGCCGCTGTTGGGGTTAATTTCGTTTCCATTCTTTCAGGCACGCGTCAAATCATTGTTCGTGAGTTCACCAATACATGTCTTTTTTAGCCGAAGAAGCGTGTTGACCCACATTACTGGTGAAAAGGGGAAATTGGTTCAGGATGTACAGGTGGCACTTTAGGTCATCGACCTTTATTGCGTGGCGCCCTCCGCATTGTTTTTCTTCCCTTCCAATTTTCAAATTTCTTTTTTTTTTATTCTTGTTTTCTATTCTCGTTTTTCAAATTCTGCTTCGATTATTCTTTATTTTCATTCGGTAATTTCATTAATTTTTTATATTCTGCGATTAATTCATATCGGTTCTTTCAAAATATGTAAAACTTTATGATTATTTAAATATGCATCTAAGATATTAACATTAATGTAATTATTATCCAACATTGTGTTTATTATTTCTTTTATTTTAGATTTTTGATAATTTGGATAATTATCCTCAATTTGAATCCATAAGAATTTCATTTTTAAATATATCATTTTAATTTGTATTTTGTATGTTTATCGTGTATGGTACAAAATACAAATTGAGAATAAAAATTCTAAAATTAAATAACAAAACTCAAATCTGTTTCATTTATCTATAATTTCAACAACGATATCAACAAGGAATTAAAATCATGATCATGATAATTAATATCTATAATTATATCATACTTTGAACTTTATCTAACTAACCATGTTCCTATCTTTAAATCATTCTTCTGTATTCATTTCATTATCATGTTTCGTGACCAAATTATGAATAACAATTAAACAAAATACAATCGAAACTCTAGATATTGATCAGTGACTCATGCAATTCGAACGATCGATTACAAAAAATCTATTTAATTTATTGATTTATTTCACTATACGCGCGTTGAATTGTTAATTAACCTGCGTAAGATGAAATGGATCAAAAATAGATGTCGTCGGTCACGTGTATGACCGCGAACTATCAACTACCGAATATAACTCATTGTCGTGACGGGAATATCGTAATTTGGAGGATATCCAAGCCTCGTCGACGATTAACGATTTTTAATCGGCCTTTTGATAATCCGCTTCCCATTATTCATCCACGATTGCGTAGAGGACAATTGCATTTGCTTCTCTCTTGTTTCTTTCCATATTTTTGCGTTGTTTTATCAACTTGTTATTGATGTTTATTCAATTATCGCGAATTTTTCACGAGATTATTTGATTATCATGTTGGTTAATTTACAAAATTAATTTACAATGTTGTAAATTTTTACGACTTCTAATTTATTTCTCGTTTCAATGTTATTTTAAAGTTTTCAAAATAGATTTAAAGCAGATATAGAATTGAGGATTCGACAAGAGAGCAGGAAATATATTTTTAATAATTTTCGAGTTATATACGTAAAAGTTATATGCAAATAAAAGCAAAGGATTTAAATTGTTTCATTCAATAAGAAATCCTTTTTCTGTTAACTATTTTTAATATATTGATGCAAATTGAAGTTGCTTTTCGAATTTAAAAAATTCAGAAATTGAAATAAAAACATATTCGACGTAGTTCGACAATTAATTATTAATTAGTATTATTTATTTCGACAAGAGAAAATGCATTATATTTCTATAAATTTAAAATGCATTTTTCTGCAATTCGTTTTTCGTTTATCAATTTGTAATCACATTATTCCATAATTATGTTTGATATATCGTTGGAAATAGCTTTAAATTGCAATGTCTCTATTATCCACGATATTTAAATTAATTATCAACAAGAGAAACAAATTTATTTTAACGAATAATTTTATAGAAAATTGTAGCGCATCTACTAACAATCGAATAACCTATTTATTCCGTTATTCGTTTAATTTAATCGAATTTAATTCGTTCATCTCAGATCGAAAACATCGCGTTCCGTTTAATATTTGTTTCCTTTTCTCCTCGAATACGTTTGCATCGTATGACAGAAACGTCACGGTTCGAGGTCTACTCAGGGTTAAGTTATACGTTGACTTCCACTTCTCAGTCGTCGATCGAGCCGCGTGTGTGCCAGTTGGTATGGAAATTAGGCTTGCTACAACTGACGCATCTGTCGAGATAAACTGAAACACGAGTCATCTTCGTTTGTTATTTTCTATTTATTCGTCGTGTTCATTTTTCACTTTTTTACGAGTTGTACATTTTAATATACTCTCCGTTTTAGCAGTGTAGTTCTTCATGTGTTGATATTTAAAGTTAATGACGATTCAGGGACCCAATGAGGCATGTGCCATATGTGTATTTCAATTTTTTTTCTACCATTTATTTCATTTGTTCCATCGTTAATATCAATTTCTTATATAATGTAATATAACATAATAAAATGTCGATTATTCGAGCTAATTTGATAAATGTTTTCGGATAAACGGATTTTTGGATAATTGATTTTATCATCTAGGATAAATTTATCCTCGTGAATCATATCAGTTTTCTAATATTTCCATTGAATTTGTACTAATTCTGTCAGGATTTGTATAAAAAATTATTGTTAATAATTAACTTTTTGACTAATATTTCACTAGCTCAGGTGAACTAGAAATGATTTCTGACGATATAGATGATAATTCATTTTTAGTGGATATTAGGAATGATTTTAAAGTACTTTATGTGAACGATGACAGGTTAGTGATGTAGAATAATAAATTTATATATACAGAAATGGGATTTTTGCCCAGGCCCTTGGCATCTTCGCATGAAACACGAAACTAAGAAAACAGAAGGTTCTTTTGATCTATATGTTGTTATAACACCGTGATAGTTTCTTAAAGAAAAATAAAATTGTATCCTACAAGTTTACTTATAACATAAACTCATTTATATAATAATTTCTTTTCCCGTATTCTTTTATATTAAATCAGCAGTAAAAGGATATAAATACTAAATATATTTGATAAAATTTCACATAAAAAGTAAAATTTCAATTTCCTAATCTGTCGAAATTAAAACGTGGAAATTGAATAAATAAAGGGGGGAAAAATCGATAGAATCGCACAATTGTTTCACTCTCCTAATTAATTTATTTCCAAATGGAATTGTATTGTAGGAAATTAAAGCATTGAAAATGAATAAACATAATGAAAATACGCGATTCAAAACAAAAATGAAAATAAATAATCAGAGTGCAAAATAATTAATGTAATAACGAATAAGAAAAGAAAGTCGCGGTGGAACAGTACTAAATATTATTTTAAAAATTGACGACAACCCTCCTTATCACGCCGCAACATCAATTTACATCGGCTCAACCACTTTCTCCCCGTTGGACAATTACCGAATTTAAAAAGCATCGCGTTACACGGCTCTCCCATTACCGAGCTAATATTTTTCCAGTCTAATTGCGCCTCCAGCCGGCTACCAACCCCCCTCATCAACCCCCTCTTGAATCGTACCGAAGAAATTTACACGAAAACAGGAACGAACCCATCCTCGACGCGTGCCCTTCGACGATTGCCTCGACAATTGCCCCTCTCCACGAATTATCGAACTCTAATTTTGGGCGTGACGCGTCGATTATCGAAACTATGGGATTGGTTCGTTTCGTTCGATTCGGATTTTTCAGGGTCAATGTAAATTAAGAGTGAAATTGTGATTTCGATTGATGGAATTTCTAACGAAGGGAATTAAGAAGGATTAAATTTATGTTGCTCGCAAATAGTTATCGCTTTTTTTAAACGATCATTTTTGAACTTGGATTTTTTTCACAAAAAAAAAAAAAATAACTTTCATGCATAATTTTTGTCACAACAACAGCATGTATTATTCGATCACCG